AGCCTGGCAGCCGCGGAGATACCACACACGCACCGCAGCCAGCGTTAAAGCAGAGCTACAGCCTCGAAATACAGTTACACAACAGAAAAAATAATCATTTCTTCCATAATTAGCCCAGGTTGAAAGTAGAGCGCACAAAACCAGGCGGAGTTTTCCTTCAGGCTCCATTTTTACCTCAGCCCTCGGCGGGACAGCACACACCCTGCGCCAGCCCTCGGCGGGACAGCACACACCCTGCTGTGTTACTCACTCTTTTCCAAGTCTCTTCACCAAGACACAAAATTGTCAAATGTCTCCTTTGAATCAAGTGCTCACACCAGCAGCCAGAGCTGCAGCAGGTGACAGCACTGGGGGGGGGGGAGGGCAGCACCCACCTCTGCCCCCCCACTCTTCCCACCCTCTGCAGCACCAGCTGGCACACATTTGCAAAATGGACCCATTTTCTTGCAGACCAGTCCCTTACCTCCACAGGATGACAGGTCCACCTTGCTGCATGGTCTCCAAGAGCTACACAAGCAGGGAGTGGAAGACTGCGGAGCGACCCATGTAACGCACCTGTAGCACTGTGGAACCATGGCAGGGAGCTGCTCCGGGCCTTTTACAACATGACTTAAATCACTGTCAACAAACCAAGAGCCTAAACCAGCCAACACCGAAAATGAGCAGATAGGCTGGAAAAATGCACCGAGGTCTTTTTATTTAAATAACAAGGACTTAAAAATTCAGAGTTTTAATACAAGTTAAATAAAACACAGTGTAAGTATCAGCTTTCGTATTTTTGCTTGTCTACATACAGCTTATTTAGAACTTCGATATACTTTACAGCTTAAAGTGACACCTGATTCAAACTGCCTGATCTGCACCTTCAAAAGCAACAGATTGTATAAAATACCGTGATATTAAAAAAAAAGCCAGTATATTGTACAAAAATATTTTTACAGTAATTTGATACTTAAAAATCAGATTAGCTACATCTGAAATTCATGGTAAATTGTCTTCTCTCAAGAGGAACTGATGGATAAATTGCTGAGCCTTCTTCTTTTCAGTTATATCAGGTGTAGGACGTCCAGGAGGAGGTCGAAGTAACAAGCCACCAAATATGCTAGCTGCATTAAAAAAACAAAAGCCACACAGACACACAGTAAGAGCCCGTCAGCAGCAGGACGTGGAGGGTAATTCCACCAACCCCCATTAGTCAAAGTGAGAGTGCCTGGTTTCAGAATGGCTAGGATAAAGCTGATGACCCATGCATCTCTGAGTCACTTCACAGCTTTTGTCAGGCTACTCCAGCACCTGTGCAGACTGTTTGCTTCAGAACTACGAGTAGAGGCCATGACTGCACTCACTTTGGAGAAATGTGTTCTGCTACACAAACCGCAAAGCCCCTCTGAACACAGTGGTTATTTTGCTCGGCTTACCAAGGATATTCACGTCCAAATGGTTTTTCCCTGAATTTTTCAGTAGTTCTCGTAGAAATGCCATGAGATAGTCAAACACATTTTTATGGCATGCTGGCAGGTTAGAGATGATCTGAGGAGGGGGAGAAAAAAAAATCAGATCCAACATTTATGTTGAAGATAGGGCAATGGCTTAGCAGCTTTATCTACTACCAACATCACCCTGCCTGCAAATACTAACAGCTCTTAATAACCAAGAAGCACCAGTTCTAGATCCTCTCTATTACCGGATCATTAAGTTTCTGAGAGCAAAAACCTGTTACTGGTCTGGCATAAAACAGTTTGCCTCCCCTCCCTCCGGAATTACAGAAGCGGTCTCATGGCGAAACGGGCGATACCTGGCTGCTCAGTGGGTAGCTGCTGGCACACTCCAAGCAGCTGCTGTACAACCTGTAGCAGATGACGGGCTCCGGCAGGCTCTCCAGGAAGAGCAGCAGGGCTTCTGCTACCGAGTGGTTGCTGCCGACTGATCCAAAAACGGTTAAGGAAGAGGCAAGCACAGCGTGATCTATTGTGGTCGTATTTCTGCTGAAACATTAATCTTTGCTTAGGTCTCCAAGAACTACTCCTATTGTTCACAGCTTTGAGTTAAATCACTTGACTCCACGGAGCAAGCCGTTTCCTTTGGCAGTTGGACACTTAGATAATTCATCAACAATTATTCATCAACATTGCAAGGACTTAGCAGAGACATCCATACTGATCACAAGGAGTAGCGAGGAACTGCGGATCTCTGTTACCCCAAGGTGAGAGACAGTAATTTAAAAACCATGGCGGAGCACAGAAGACTGATAAAATCTTTTTCAGCTTTGAACACTAAGGTGTAGCGAGCCTTACCGGGCACCAGTCTAAAAGGATACAGAGGGTATCATGCATTCCTTTGTCCAAACAGTCTCGGATTTGCTCAAATTCTGATCTGAGGCCTGGCTGCTGAAACAGGTCCTCCTGCAAGATGACCATTAGTCAGTCGCAAGGAAAATAAAAGTTACTTGAGTAAACAGAGCAATGTCATTATAATCTGGCTGGAAAAATCGCTCCAAATTGGCAGCTATCAGCACAAATCCCACCACAAGCAGTTCTAGTAAGATTGTGGCACTGCAGTAGAGAGCAATGCAGAAGGACAGCTGCTGATAAGGTCACCATTGTGACCTGAAGCCCAGGGCACCAGGATCACTTATCACAGATGTCCTGTATCTCTCTTTACCATTGGCCAAATACCCACAGTTAGCAATGACTGCTATTACCAGTATCTCCTTCAAAACTAAACTTAACACAAATTATTTTGCATTTCCAGTACAAACACTGCCAACCTGCTGGGAAGCGTTGCGGTATAGGTGATCCACCATCATCCACAGCTCTTTCGGAATGTCCATAGGCTTCTCAGCTTGAACAGCATCATCACTCGTTTCTAGTGGCATCAGGGTCTGAGAGAGGGACGTGTGGGGAGGGGGGGGGGGAAAGGTAGCTAGCCAAGTTCTTACTCAGCTCTGCAAAAATGCTTCACAGAGCTTATACCTGAGAATTAAGACTCATTAAGAAACTGTGCAGCTTCACTCACCAGTCTTCATACAAGACTAGTACAACAGGCACATTTATATCAAAAGTCCAGACCGAAGAAACAAGCTGCTCTCATAAACATGCAGCTCGATGGAAGTGTTACATCATGCCTCACATATACACGCTCATCTCCATTCCATGTGGAGAAAGCCAAAGGCTCCAGGGAAAGGGTCTACGTTTAGAAGTTGCACACCTTTTTTAGCCGTGCAGGCAGAGCAAATGGGGTCTTACTTCCAGTGCTCTCTATATGAAATGGGTCAGTTCAGCCACAGAACTAACGCAAGGTGTGAAGATGGTCCACTGGAGAGCACAAGCTGTATCAGCATTCTCAGATTATGACCAGGGAAGTGGAAGAAGGCTCTTGAGCAATAAACAGGACTCAACACCTAGTTTTAATGGTTCTTGTGGGTTCGGAAGGGGATCTTGTCTTTAACTCACAAGTTTCCGAATGGCTTCTGCTGACATGTCCTGGATCGGTTCCCTCATGTGACACAGGGTATGAATGGGAGACCCAAAGCAACTTGGCAAGTAGTTTCCCGTTACAGATAAAAAATAATCCTTCCCCCTGTTGAGGTGCAAGACCAAGATGTCTTCAAGCTTTTCCTCTCCAGAGTTTAAGTGTGTAGCTGTTGATTTATTAACAAACACCTCCAACTCAATTGTGATCTCAGCATCTGCCAGAAGATGATAAAAAAAACCCATACTCAGTTAAAAAAGGTATTAAACCAATAAGCCTGCAAATAGGCATAGCATTCTCAAAATAGCAGAGAGAACTAAGCCAGAAGGTGACAGTAATAGCTCATTAACGTGAGATGAACAATGAGGAGCTCACCTGAGAGCAGAAAGCCCTTACTGGGATTGGCAATCAGCCACTCCTTGCAGTAGGTCTCCTCATCTGGTTTGCTGATAAATTCGAACTGGCAGGGCACTTGTCCATTGCGGATTGTAAACTTCTCTACCTGCAGCTGCATGTATTTAACGTCCTCAAAATGGAACTAGAAACAAACATCAGTCAACATCATCAGCCAGTTCTATCTTGCCAAGCATCAGCAGCAGCTCCTGCCCTGTAGTTTAATTATTAAGCAGCCAGATACCCAGATTAACCCTCCTGCGCCGGCATCCCATCTCTTCCAGGATTACAAAGGATTACGTTTGCTTGCTCTATATGCTGAAGTGGTTTGCATCAGTGGGCCCTTTGAAACAAATGCTCCCCTCAAATAACCTCAATGAAACTTGAGAACAAGATAGCTGTAGCCTCAAAGGTCTCATTTGCTGACTTCCCTTAGTCCCCAGCACACAAAGCAAATGCTGGGTTTGTGACATTCTCCAAATCCTTCAGATTTTACATTTTATGTTTCAAAGAACAAGTCAGAGCAAGGGCCACAAGCCACCCTTTTACTCTCTCCCCCCACCTCAGGGGGTTACACACCCTACAATTCAGCCAGGCACCATGCATGGAATTTACCTGTATCTAAAAAGAAACAAATATGTCTAGGGCTTGTCAACAGAGAACAGCTGGAGGTCAGAATATTCTACTTATTTGGAGCCAGACCCCAGGGTATAGAGTCCATCCTCTGCCGCTGGAATACACTTCTGGGGTCTAGGGTTGCTCAGTTTCTCCAGCGAGTCACATCACATGAACATACCCTACCTCTCTCTGGGAGAGGGTCACCGAGGGAATGTTGGCATTCTCCAGCTTATCCAGGGAGCGCACTATTTCCTCAAAGGCTTTTCGATATTGCTCCTCATTCACAACCTTCACCTGAAAAGGACACAAATTGCACCAATGGCATCTACTGTGCCTCTGCAGGAGAGCTGTAACGCAGCTGGAAACACGTGGAACGATCTGATTTTAGCAGCACACTAGCATAGACAACACGTAATGAACAGAGCCACTTGCAGCACTGATGATCCTCGGGACCTGCACTAGTGACCCCCTCAGGATCCAACAGTAAAGGACCTTGCTATAACTAGCAAGAGAGTCACCCACTCAGTACTACATCAGCTTTAAAAAAAAAAAAAAAAAAAAAAACTAAAAACA